ACAAACGTGTCCCCAGCTCAGGGGAGCGTAATGCCAAATAAAGCTGTCAGTGGATTGAAAGATGCTGACATGACTTCCAAAAAGTATTTGAAAAAAAAAAGAGAGCACTCCAGCTGTTTTTTTCTCCATCCATGCGCCAGCCTGTATCAGTTAATTCCTGATTTCCTCCAGACCCAACCACAGAGAGGAAAAAAAGTGACTTATGGTGAGTGGAATAGTCTTTAAAAAAAAAAGCACCTTCTGGGAGCACTCAACTTTTTTGTAGAGCCAAAGCCCTCTGCACCTTTCTGAGCACGCTCACTGTGTCACTTCCCATCTGTGGTTTGAATGCTGGCATCAGAGGTGCGACTTTATGTCACCTTTATTTTCTTTTTTTTTTGGCTGTAGATTTAATATGCTGAGTTTTTTCTGTGTAAGTTCCTTGTTTTTGCATTCTTTTTGTGTTTTTGTTGCCTTTTTATTTGATTTCTCTCTGAAAGTTATTTGCTTGTAGGATTGATAAAGGGTGAATCAGTCAAGCTGCCCCCCTCCCCCTCAGGAGGGTTTTGAGGGGCGGGGCGGTCTATTTGAGTGGAGGAGGACGGGTTCTCACACAGGACTGGAAATCAGCCCCAAATGAACAAAGAAAAGACACCTGTGAACTAATTCCTGAAATCCAAGGATGTTATCAGACAACTGATGATTCATTGGGATCTAAGGTCAATCAGGTGATCTACAGGAAGTTACAGTGTTGAAGTAAGCTGTGAGTTTGTTTATTTTACCATCAGTCATGATTGTGGTTTAAAATGACTTTTTAATTACAGTAAATTCCTACCTGAAAGACAAACAAGCGATGCAAGTGTTGAAACGTGTCTTAATGCTGCTGATGATCATTTGCCAAAATCAACCATTGCTCTATGCAAGCTGCTGTTTTCAGCCACTCAATTTAGTTTTTATTCTAGCATCTTAATTCCAGCTTGTTGTTCAGGTCACCCTTCATACCACCCATAACATAATTTCCTATAACCCTGTGCTAAATCATAGGTTTAACATCCACTGACACATGATCTACTGTATGTGGAAAAATATGACAGCATCAGGCCAACGAGACAACTATAAAACTAAATGTTAAACATCATTTAATTGCAGCAACTTAAAGGCAAAATGCAGCAACTATTCCTACTGTCGTTAAGATGACAGGTAAATATGATCACTTATCTTAGTTGTTTTATACATTTACTAAGAATCTGCCACCTTTAGCTCTAGTTTGTAAGAAGTTATTACTGTAGACTGCAAGATAGGGGTTTCTAAAAACAAGATGAAAGTAATAAAGCCAAAAGAAAAGTTACTTAAAATAGATGAAATTATGTCCACACAGCAAGATGAGTTCAGGTGACAAGATTTCCTGAATTTAGGATTTACTGGACAGTTTAAATAAGAGATTATATCTTAAAACAGGATAAATTATCTAACATTTCCAAAGATAGTTTTTGTTCCTCTTAATAAGAACCATATCATTTGCAGTTTAAGTTTTATATGTTTAGGGCTTGCAGGTGGAACAGCGGTTAGCATGTACGACCCATGTACGGAGGCCTTAGTCCTCGACACGGCCGACCCGGGTTCGAATCCGCCCTGTGGTCCTTTGCCACATGTCTCTTCCTCTCTCTCATACCCCCTTTCCCTTCAGCCTACTGTCAAAAAAATGAGCCACTAGTGCTGCAAAAAAAAAAGTTTTATCGGGTTAATTAGAAAATCCTTCCTGTGGTTTCGATGCCATGACTTTCTTTGCCTTGGAAAAAAGTAATTAAAATAACCCTTAAACCATACTGTAGGAATGGTATGTTTTTTTTTAAACGTTTACGATTGCTAAAATAATCGAACTTCTTAGTTTGATCATTTATCTACTGAAGGGATCTGAAAACATACCTTCATTACATCCAATCAGCAGGAGAACTGAGAACCACATTAAAGGTAATGATTTTGGGGGGATAAAATATATATGTAGTCAAACTTTGAGATTTTAGCATCACATTAATCGAAGAAATTCTTAACAGAAAAGATAAATTTGCAGCCGATATGTAGTCATTATCTTATGGATAGAATATCTAAGCGACAGGCTGACACCTGGTGAATAAACCTGAAGCCTCCGAACAGCTGAGACTTTTTTGCCTTTAATTTCACATAATTTTATAGATTAATCCCCGTTTCTTACAGATTACCACCAGTAATGTTCATGTAAGGCAGAGAGGGTCGAACAAAGACACGTTCTCAACACTTGATCCCAGTTTAACTCAAAGACACACAGGGTGGATTTTTCCTGTGTGGGAACCCACCTTAAAACTACAAGGAATGACAGAAATGATGTCATCAAGAGTGTAAAAGACATGGTCTGATCCTGGGAACAGATGGGGGTTAGGAAAGACGTACAAAGACATTCTTGAAACAAGATGGCACCATATAGGAAAGGCCTTTACAGTTTTTCCCTCCCGCTCTAGCCTCCTCCGTATCTTCATCTTCCACCAGTTGCACTCCTTCATTTTCACAACTTGATTTCATTTTCTTATTAGTGGTCTTTTTATCCTTTTCTATTTACTCTGCTCTCTCCAACATCCCCGCACACCAGAGACAAAACAAACACTTCTATTATAAAGCTCTATACACTGTATATGTATATGAAAAAAAAACAAACAGGAGAACCTCTGAGATACGGAGAAGATGTGTTTTCGTTCACACGTCTTTGTATCGCTGATGCAGTTTAAGGATGAAAAAAAAAACACCAGTTTACCTCTGGAGCTCTCAGCCATAGCATACTTTAATCTCAGCTCTGCAAGCAGCTTCTGAACTGCTGTGGCTGCCGTTACAAAGCAGGTTCATATACTGTATGTGTATATAAATATATACATTTTGTTTGTTTGTTTTGGAGAATCAAACCAGTGAGCGTCAGCAGGGCGCTCTCTGGCCATTTTGAACACAGTGCAGGGCTTTTACAGAAACGGGACGCAAGCCGAGAGTTCACGTCAACGGTCTTACCTCAAAATCATACCACAGAGCAGGGGAGGGGGGCGGGGCTTGCACATGGTCATAGCTGCTGTCGACAACCATTTATTAAAAAAAAAGAAAAATCCTTCTCTTCCTTGTCTCTGGTGTTGTTGGGTGAAGATACCTTACAGAACTTCTACTTTTCTTCAGTTTCCATTATAAATATATAAATATAAGAACTGTACATTACGAAATAGAAGCACTATCAAAGTTTGATTGTTAGGTGTGCACTCGCAGCATGAGGTATTATTCTTTATTACTCTTCATAAGTCTGATAAATGAAAGTGTTAAAGCAGCTCTCCGAAGGCTAAAAAACTAAATCAATGCAGTAGCATCCACTGATGTCAAAGAATATTCCCAATCCCACTCAAACACCCGAGATCTCTAATCCTCAGTCCCCACATGCATTCTTGCCCTTCCCCCCACCCACACTGACCCCCTCTGCCCCGCTCCGTGTCCATGCCCGTTTCCCTCGTGTTCAAAGTGCCAATAAACTTTGTGAATTCCTAACTGTGACCCAGAAATAAAGATGATTGCACATTAACTACTGTAAAGAGAAAAAGAAACCTGAATGAGGAAAAAATATGGACATCCTAATAAAAGATTTGTAATAAAACACGACTGGACTGCTGAGTTGTTTTGTTGCACATGTTTTCGTCCCTTTAATCTCAGTAATTCAAGAAAGGACACCAAATCATTTTCTTTGTATTCATCATTTGCGAGAGAATAAAACAAGCTTAGGAGTTTGTGTTTAAAAAAACTGTGTCAATAGTTTGTGCTGCAGGATTCTCTCTGTGCCACTACCATTTAGTAAAGATACCAGGGTTTAAAAGAAGAAAAAATACTGTTGCATCATGGGAGAAGATGTGGGCACTAATCAGTGCTACTTCAGCCTAATTGTTTGGCAGCATTTTTGTTGGGTTTCAAGCACGTCTACCTTCTGTGCACATTTCCCAACACAAAGACGAGTGCCTCAGTACATCATGGTAAGTATATCTAAGTAAAAAAGTCAGTGAAACTTTGCTAGCACTGCTAAATAGTTTAGAAACCATGTTAGTTTCAGTTTAGTTTTTTTTTTTTTTTTAATCAACTTGTCATGTTAGAAAATTGCTTAAAATATGAAAGTTTTTTAATTTGCCTTTTTAGACATAATTACTAAAGCAAATTAATTAATATTTTATTCTGTTGAAATGTTCTGGTAGAACACAGGCTGGGTTTTAGTTGACTTTCTTTTTCATTAAAACACATTTAGAACATTAAAAAAAATCAGGAACATGTATTTTGGTATTTTTGAAATTGTACCTTGAAACAATTTGTATAGTCTAAATAAAAACAATATAAATTATATATATTTTCTCCTTAATACCAGGAATCAGGCTAAAGGTCACATGATTATTGAAGTTAGGGTTACAGAAGACAAAACCTAAGGCCCTCCATCATTGCATCAAGTTGTCTGAACACATAAGCATAAGTAAAGAACCAACATTTCTTTGGATTTTCACAGTCATTATGCATAGATGCAATCGCTTCTGGTTATGCTTTTAAGAAACAATTAGAGGGATGTTCTATTTAATTCAAATGGTCTGAAACTTCAAACATCCCCATCAGGACTTTCCTAAATTGTTTAAAGATTTTCAACAGTATTGAATAATAAACACTAAAATCAAAATGCGACTTCTATCAAAGAGGGAGTTTTTCCTGCCTAAATGAAGCATGTTTTAGTGTCCCTTTAGTGCATGTAGAGCTACCCTAACATGTAAATACATCAGCGTCAGGACTGCGGTCGGTCCAGGCACAGGGGAGCCACCCGCACTCTGCTCATTCCAGCTAAACTAAATGCAATTTCACATAATGGTTCGGTTCTCTAGGGAACATGATGAAGTTTCCATTTTTATAAGTGCATCTCAAAAACATCCAGACGCAGCTGGAAGCTTTTTTTTTTTTTTTTCCATAAATATATATAAAAGAAAAGATCAGAGAAGGAAGCAAGACTCCAAATCCTGTATTGATTCAAACATACAGCTCATTTGGTGGACAAAGTTTTTCAAATTGAACTTGATTATTCATGTTAAACACATTTCATAAAATACACAGAGAAGCTGCAATCAGACAGTGCTGTTTTTCTTTTGTTTTCTTCTCTTTTTTTGGGATCAGTCTTGTCTCTAGCTGCAAATAAAACAACATACTTCTATAAAAATGGCAGTTCAGCAAAATGAACAGTAACAAAAAAAAATAAAAATAAAATACCTTATTGTGCTAATAGACATGATACCAGAGATTAATAGAACAATCTTATCCAGAAACTTTTTGGTCGTTTCATCAAAAAGTTTTTTTTACAAACAAAGTGTTCTTAGCTGTTGTATGTAGGAGGATAAGTCGCGACTACCGGCACATATTTAGGACGCGTTTAATGGCAGTTATTCCCTCTTCTGAAGGAGCTTTCTTTAAAGTAACCGGTTCGCCAGTAACTAGGACTGAAAATTCCCAAACTTTCTCAATACTACAAAACCGTTTTTTTAACCTTATTCTTATTTTGGTGCAAAAGATTTTAACTTCTTCAAGCTGTTTTCTCCTTGTCTCTTGAAGCCAAACTTGATAAAGCAGTGCTTTATCAAGTTCACAATGCTGTTTTTCAGTTTAACACAAATAAAAATATAGACGCTTTAGAAGTTACTGTTTCGCTCCAAGAGATCGTAACAGAAGTGGAAAGTACGTCTGTGGATTTTGTTTTTTTTCACCGTACCACAATGGGTTGGATATTTAAAAAGAGATTAAAAGCACACGTACCAAGAGGAGTAAACCTCACTCGGCTCTGTTAGTAGGAGACAAATGGGATGAAAGATTGTTTTTCTTTCCAAATCTATAATTCAAGTGAAGACATTTGGATTACAGCAAATACAAAAACAAAAATGAAGCCTACAGAATGATCTTTGTACTGTTATATGATTTTACTTGCAGGACAGAAAATTAAAGCATTGTGCTTCAGATACAGCACTTCCAACGAACCTTAGTGTTGCCATATTTTTAAAAAGGACATAACCCACAACATCCAGCAGAGGGAGCTGTGAGCCTAAATCTGGGCCACACAAAGAAACATCTTGCCCAGCAACTACTTCCCCTCATTAGCAGATGCTTTCAAATAAAAGAGGCGAACCCATTCGCTCCGAGCCAAGGCCGTCTCTCATCAGCCAGCGAGAGTAACAAAGCCAGGGCAAATCATGCAGTTTAACGTCTGATGGAGTGCAGAGGCGGGTTGGCTGCAGACCCTACTTCACCTGATCCTGTCTCAGGTTGGGAAATAAAACCGCTTTCTGCTGGAACGTCTACATTCCCTATGAAACATGAGCCGCATATGACAGCAGCTCGTATGTTTGCACTACACACATTTGCAGTTATGACAGCAGAGATGCGGATCGGCAGGCTTATAGACTAGAGAAACTGCCGCTCAGCATTTTTAACCAGCCGTAATGTATTTTTTTAAATCCCATTTTACAGGTAGGCACATGAAAGTTATCCACAGTTCAAAAATAGTATAAAAATATATTTAAGGCAACAGCCCAGCACTGGTCTCGCCTGTGAATTTTTATTTGTGTTGGGTTAAAAACACAAGCGGATAGAATTTTTGAATATTTAAAAACTCCTTTGACAGCATGGAGTCTTCACTTGTTTAGGGTGTTTACGATTTGATCATTATGAAGAACCTGTGGGTGTATTTCTCAAACCCTGCAGGTCTTATTTAATGATGTAAATAATCTCCAGAAGCAAATCAATGTGCAGCTTTTGTGTTTTTCTCCCCCTGTTGTGTACCAAGATTTCCACCAAGAACTGCAATGCACAAATACACCAAAAATAATACCATCTTCTGCCCACCAGATCCATTCAAAGAGGGTCTGATGATCGAGTCTCAGCTCTTCTCTGCAGACCACCGACTACTCCATGAGAGTAAAGGGAGTGTTTCAAGGGGGAAGGAGGAGACATTCTTCTTTCCATCTGTTTCTGTCCGTTCATCCTGACAGGGAGGAGCAGGGGAACATCATCAGGAGGTCAGAGGTCGTCAAAGAGCAAAGAAGAGGATGAGGACGACAATCAAGATGGCAACCAGCACGCCGATGGCACACCACTGTCTTCGACCTGCAGGGGACAGCACAGAAGAGCAGCTGATGCAAAACTGTTCCTCCAGGATGTTATTGTGACATTAAGACATTGATCCAGTTCTGTCTATAGAGGTATGGAAGGAAATTAGATTTTTTTGTTTTGTTCGTTTTTTACAGGTCTGGACAGTTATGTTTAGAACAATGAGTTCAAATATCTGTTTTACATGACATCATTCACCATATAAAAAAACAAAACTTGTTTTTCTTTTTTCTGTCTTCTAGTGGCCTTTCGCCTTGCTAACCTTTCCTGTATCCTTGTTTTCCCCTTCCTTGTGCCCTTTCCTATCAGTTCTTCATTCTATCCTTGATTTTTTTTCTACCTTTCTTCTTTACCTCCTTTAACCATCATTTCTTCCTTTCTCTGTTAATCCTCGTGTCCTACATTTATAGTTTTTCTCTCCTTCCTTCCTTCCTTCCTTCCTTCCTTCCTTCCTTCCTTCCTTCCTTCCTTCCTTCCTTCCTTCCTGTGAGTGTCCTTACTTTCTTAACCCTTTCCTCCCTTGTTCTGCCATTCCTAACTTTCCCTTTCTTTCTTGT